TCCGAGAAAAACTTCACACAGATGTGGGGCCACTTTGGATCTTATGCATACGCCGCTTCTCTGCACGTAGTGGCGATCTTGGTAGGCTACCACCGTGGCTGATAGGTAATAGCCCAAAAGTTCTAAGAAGGTATCCACCTGCATCCCTGCCGCATTCTGGAATGACGTGAGGCCTTGATCTTCTATGTTTGACCGAAGAACTTCTAGTAGACGTGCATGCGGGATGGAGTAGTACATATCTTGAACATCCACGGAAAACCCAGAAACGATGATGTTCCCTTTTTCTTTAAGAAAAGAAATCACATTTTCAGAATTGGAAATCCGGAAAGGGTCTTGCATCAAAACAAGGTTGATCTTTTCGGTGAGAAATTTGGACACGCAAGCTTGCCACGTGTTCCTCTCCGAAATAATTGCCCGGAACGGACTTCGCTCTTTGTGCGTTTTTACGGAGAAGAACACCGTTAACTGGTCAATCTTGGCTGCCTTGATCTTGGAGCACAAACCCCCTTGATGATTTTTCTCTAGTATCGTGAGAATGGCTCTTTTTGTTACTTTACAAAAAGTAACAAAAAGAGCCATTCTTACGAGACTAGAGAAAAATCATCAAGGGGGTTTGTGCTCCAAGATCAAGGCAGCCAAGATTGACCAGTTAACGGTGTTCTTCTCCGTCAAAAAGTAACAAAAAGAGCCATTCTCACGATACTAGAGAAAAATCATCAAGGGGGTTTGTGCTCCAAGATCAAGGCAGCCAAGATTGACCAGTTAACGGTGTTCTTCTCCGTCAAAAAGTAACAAAAAGAGCCATTCTCACGATACTAGAGAAAAATCATCAAGGGGGTTTGTGCTCCAAGATCAAGGCAGCCAAGATTGACCAGTTAACGGTGTTCTTCTCCGTCAAAAAGTAACAAAAAGAGCCATTCTCACGATACTAGAGAAAAATCATCAAGGGGGTTTGTGCTCCAAGATCAAGGCAGCCAAGATTGACCAGTTAACGGTGTTCTTCTCCGTCAAAAAGTAACAAAAAGAGCCATTCTCACGATACTAGAGAAAAATCATCAAGGGGGTTTGTGCTCCAAGATCAAGGCAGCCAAGATTGACCAGTTAACGGTGTTCTTCTCCGTCAAAGCGCACAAAGAGGGAAGTCCGTTCCGGGCAATTATTTCGGAGAGGAACACGTGGCAAGCTTGCGTGTCCAAATTTCTCACCGAAAAGATCAACCTTGTTTTGATGCAAGACCCTTTCCGGATTTCCAATTCTGAAAATGTGATTTCTTTTCTTAAAGAAAAAGGGAACATCATCGTTTCTAGGTTTTCCGTGGATGTTCAAGATATGTACTACTCCATCCCGCATGCACGTCTACTACAAGTTCTTCGGTCAAACATAGAAGATCAAGGCCTCACGTCATTCCAGAATGCGGCAGGGATGCAGGTGGATACCTTCTTAGAACTTTTGGGCTATTACCTATCAGCCACGGTGGTAGCCTACCAAGATCGCCACTACGTGCAGAGAAGCGGCGTATGCATAGGATCCAAAGTGGCCCCACATGTGTGTGAAGTTTTTCTCGGAGCGTGCGGGCGTGCCATCCAAGAAAGTATTAAAGATCCAAGAATCGCGGCGATATTTAGGTGTGTCGATGATTTCCTCATTTTATGCACTACAGAAGTTGACGATCATATCGACGGGTGCCTCAACAACATCCTGAGGAGTTTTCAGCACTCATGTATGGGGCTCACTTTCACGCATGAGCTTCCAGAGAGGAAAATCATCAAGTTTCTGGATTTGGTCTTGGAGTTCAGGGCAGAACATGTTTGCTGGAGATACCAAGCCCGTTCAGGCAAAGGGTTTCTCCCCTTCTCGTCGCAGCATTCAAATACTGTTAAGCAGGCGGTAGCTTTCACAGCCCGGTTTTCTAGCCTGAAGAAATCCTGAGAGCATCAGCTCTCCCGAAGCTTTGAGTTGCAAATATCCAGACTCGAAGACGCGGGCTACCCGCGACATGTAAATGCCTCCGTGTGCGAAAGAATTTGCCGCACCATCAAGACGACTTGCGGACGCAACGACCCTTCCACACAGCAAAAGAAGAAAAGTAGACCGTTTGTGGTTGTTCCATATATTCATGGGATTACGCATAGGTTAAAAAAGATGGCCAATCGACATGAGGTACAAGTGCTGTGTTCGGCGCCCAATAAGGCCTATTCGTTGTGCCGCAGGGTTAATCAAGGGCAAACCAGCAACAGCAAGGTTTGTGGCACCAATCACAGGACGGTTTATGCCCAGTGCGACAAGGAGGTTATATACCACATACCCCTGACATGCGGCCGCTGTTACATCGGCCAGACCGGGCGTTGTATAAATGATAGGACTCGGGAACATGCCAATAGCTTGAAGACCTTGACGGCAGCAGGTCACTTAGCCCTACATTGCCGCGACTGCAAGTGCAAGGCGAACCTAGACAAAGTTACCGTCATGGGGCACCATCGAAACCGGTTTGCACGCGAGGTTTTAGAAGCTTTAAACATACAAGAGAAAGGGGACATGTGTGTTAGTTCACCCTCTGTGACCTTAACCAGAGAAGAGAGAACGTTCTTGCGAGGGGAAGTACCGCCCACAAGTAGACAGACGAGGAGGATGCCTTAGTTTAATAATGAGGAAAAAGAGGAAGAAGTGAAGCAAGCTAGGTATGATTGATCCTAGCCTGTCGAGGAAGATGAAGTGTTTCATTAAATTTCAGTTGGTAGTCTAGCGGCTGAATGCGTCTCTCTCGTCCTTCTTACATTTGTGTGCTTGGGTTGTTCAGCTGGTGTCTCCTAAATATGCGTAACCAACGTGCTCAACTCTTTCCGGTGGTCAGCGAGAAACTTAGCGGCCGTGATTGGCCAACGCCGGACTTGACCTTGGCGCCGGCCAATCATAGCCGCCGGATTTCTCGCCGACTTTTTCGCCAAGTGTCCAGATTCGAGTCCCTGATTGGAGTCCGCGGCGAGGAAGCTCGCGCTGTAGAATCCAGTGATCCTGAGCTCAATCCCCACCCTGCCCGAAAAACACACTTCCGATGAAGCGAGTTCGGGGAGCACACTATACGCTCGCTCCGGTAGACCGAGTGTGTAATCTCGATAGCAGTGTTCAAGTAGTAAAAACAATAGAAGAATCCAACGCAGCGTAAAATTAGTATTATTTCGATAAGAGTCATATTAGATGCGCACTTGTTTTCTGTTGGCAAGAAAGTAGTGCATTGTAGAAAAACAAGTGGCTAATCTAGTTTCCTGACTTGGCCCCGTCGCGACGGCCAGCGACGGCCTGGAGGCACCTGCAGAACTCCACCAGGAATCTGAAGGTGGCAGGAGACACGCGAAAGGCTTGCTTGAAACGGAACTCGCCCAACGGGGCGAGGACCGTTCTCGACTGATCACGGGCAGGCTTCGGTCATGATAGCAGCTATGGTGAAGGCATTGACCTGCAGCTGCTGATCGATGTCACTCGAAATTCTTGCCTGTGCGTCGGCATCAAGCTCCAGCTGCCTCTCATCTGAAAGGCGTTGGACTCTCACGGAGAAAAGTGCCCCCCCCCCCCCCCCCCCCCCCCCGCCACGCGCTTCCAATGTCCAAGATCGCAGATATCGCTCTCCAGTTCGCTTTCCACACACTCCATGATGTTTCGTTGGGGCGAGTGGTGTTGGGTCTGGGAGGGTGACGACCTCAGGCGCGGACCCACTAGTCGGGGCTGTGGCTCGCTGCTACCATGGCCCCGAGGAAACACGCCTGGAGTGGGAGTACTGAAGGAGAACTTTTATATACAGCGAATATACAAAAGTATGGTCGACTAATTAATCGGCAGTCGGCAGTCTGCAGTCGGCGACTTCGGGCTCTCTGAGCCCATGTTATATAACCCTCCGAGGGCGAGAAGGCCCGCGGAGCGAGAGGGGAGCCTTCCAGGCGTTCACATGGTGTTCGAAGTTAGGCTGATGCAATTTCCGGGTGTTCTTTCGCCAAGGGCAGATGATGCAATCCCTCCACGTTCTTGCCCCGCTTCGGCGGCTGATGCAAGGAATCGACGCTCTTGCTGAAACCCAACACCGACGGACCCACACACACACAGGCACGCACACGCACGCCGGTGCTTCTCCTTCCGAATGCTGGCGGTCCCAGACGGTCTCGTGGCCTCCGGGAGATGTTTTTGTGTTTGGAGCACTCCTCGAAAGCCACCACCGGCCCGATGACTCAAGGGTCGGTCTCGGGAATTCGAACGTGACCGTCTAGCGCCGCCGGCGCGCGCCGGGGCCCATCGTGACAATAGGCTTTGCTGCCGTTGGCGACAGGTGAAGGCCAGGTCCGGGGGCCTTTCACAACAGCTCCTCCGCCGCCGGGGAGAGAGTCTTGAGGGGGAGCAGTCCACACTGGTCCCTTGAAAGACGCGGTCTCACGGCTGGTCTGGCGACTGAAGTCCAGGCAAGAGTCAACACTGCGAAGTGGCCCTAACAAAGACCAACAACACCAAACCAAACTCCGCGCAGGCAAGCGCCCAGCCCCCAATCTCTCAAATCCGCCAGACCAAAACCAAAACGAACAACAACAACAAAAAATTGCCTCGCGAAAGTTCCGTACTATTCTGTCAACGAAAAACACGCACAAAGAAACTTATTTCCTCTGCCAGGTTGCTTTAGCGAAAGAAACTTCTGCAGACTAATAAAAGCCCTCTAACGCTCAACCCAAAATAAAACGGACTCCCGTGAAAAAAAAACACATTACAAACCGTAATGTAACTCATATAGGGCATATCCCTATTAAATTCGAGCATCCTTCATAAAACAAACTCTACCGCGTATAAAACCGCTTTAAAGGAACTTTACCGTCAACACAACGAGCTAAAGCCGAACGAAACGCAAAGCTCGGACTCCCGAAAAAAGAAAAGCTAAAAAACTTGCCGAATAACATAGTCAGCTCAATAACACTAAAAAAACCACGTCTAGCCCTCCCTTTTCCGTCGAAAGTCCTCCTTTGCCTCTAACCCACGCCCTGTTTGTTCTTGGCATCACTCGGACTGTTCACGTTCTTCTCCTTGGACTTGCGTGCAGGCACAAAGTTGCAGTCGCAGAGATCTCCCTTGGTCTCAACGTCCGACGTGACACCACGTTGAACCACGGGCGATGAACTGTGCTTCCGTCTGGAGCCTCGCTGAGTCGTCCCAGGCTCGTTGGTACCTTCTCCAGGCTCCTTGCTCGCACTTGAGCTGTGGGTTCGTGGCTTGTTGGGATGGAGGTCCTGGAGTTTTCCCGCTCCCAGCTTCGAGGACCGCTTCCTCTTCTTGGGGTGGCGCTCGTCGTGCTTGCCTTGACGTTCTTTGCAGGAAGCGTTGCTGCCAGAACGTACAACGCTGATCCGGCGCTGCCTCTTCCCTTTTGGTCTCGGACGCTTGTTCATGATTGCATCCGAGTTCTTGGTCTCAGATCCACCATGCCGCGAGCACGACGACGTCCTCAGGTGCACTTGCGTCCGGTCTGGTTTGTCCAGCCTGGGCTCCTTCGTGTCCCAGGCGGGTCCCTTGCCCGCGCAGCCGCCGCCGGTTGCAGATCCCTTGGGATGGCCAACTTGGGGTCTCCCATCCTCCAACCTCGATGACGACTCGCTGCCAGACGCGCACTCGTCGATGTTCTCCTGGCACCTCGACTCTGTGGATGGTCTGGAGTCGGGGCTCTGCAACCGCACCAGGCAGGACTGATTGATCTCGTCGAACGAAATCTCAATTGCCTCCCTCCTGGTGGGCCGCTTGGACCCCTGCGACGGCACCGTGGGCTTGGTCATGAAGCCGCACGGGTACCGATCAGAGCGGTCAGGACCCTGGCTTGTTTGCTGGACCGCTATCTCCGGCATTTTGGCGCTGCTCTCCATGAACTGGCTGGACTTCCCCGGCGTCGTCTCCGTCTTGGCGTCGCCTTCGTCCTCCGAGAAGTCGCAGCTGGACGCCCGAAGAGCCTTCTCTTCTTTCTCCCGCAGCTCGGGGTCGATTTTGTGCGGAACGGCGTCGGTCTTGCGAGGAACAGCGTCGGTCGCGTCGGAAGAACCCCGCTGGTTTCCGGTCACCTCGGTGTCCCCAGCTTCGGTTTTCTTCTTTTCCTGACACACCAATTCTGTCGCTGCTTCCACGTCACTTTCACCGTCCCGGCGCTCGGAGTTTGGGTCGGGCTTGCGAAGAACGGCGACGTTCGTGTCGGGAGAAAGACGCTGGTTTTCGGTCATCTCTCTGTCCCCAGCTCCCACTTTCTCCTTTCCCTGACACACCTTCCCTGTCACCCCTTCAACGCCTCTTGTCGCCCGGCGAAAAGACTCCAACTCCCGCGTTTTCTTCGCGACCTCGAGCTGCTCAAACTCGTAGTCGAGCCGCTCCATTTCGCGCTTATACTCGCGCTTTTCGAGTTCCCATCTCGCAGTCTCGAGAGCCCTCTCGTCGGCCCGCTTTCTGCGTTCCTCCTGTTCCTCTCCGCGAACCTCCCCCAGAGCCTCTGTGAACTCCTCAATGCTGACGTCTTCGGCCTGAAGGAGTTCTATGATGTGCGGTTTTCTTCTCGTCTGCCCCAAATCGATTCCTAATTTGGTACAAACTTGTACCAACTCACGCAAGCGGAATGCCTCCAGACTCATGATCTAGCTTGTGCTGGCTCTCTTTCCCACAAAATTGTTCGCGTCAGAACGGTCACACAGTCCTTCTGACAACGACTATCTCCAACCCTCATAGGCAAAACTTAGAGCCAATGGGTCTGGCAGATTGAGAAAGAAAGGGCCGGGCACTCACCCACACAAGAAGTCATGGTCCGGCGAAGTCGATCCCGCCGCTGCCATCCAGTTGTTGGGTCTGGGAGGGTGACGACCTCAGGCGCGGACCCACTAGTCGGGGCTGTGGCTCGCTGCTACCATGGCCCCGAGGAAACACGCCTGGAGTGGGAGTACTGAAGGAGAACTTTTATATACAGCGAATATACAAAAGTATGGTCGACTAATTAATCGGCAGTCGGCAGTCTGCAGTCGGCGACTTCGGGCTCTCTGAGCCCATGTTATATAACCCTCCGAGGGCGAGAAGGCCCGCGGAGCGAGAGGGGAGCCTTCCAGGCGTTCACATGGTGTTCGAAGTTAGGCTGATGCAATTTCCGGGTGTTCTTTCGCCAAGGGCAGATGATGCAATCCCTCCACGTTCTTGCCCCGCTTCGGCGGCTGATGCAAGGAATCGACGCTCTTGCTGAAACCCAACACCGACGGACCCACACACACACAGGCACGCACACGCACGCCGGTGCTTCTCCTTCCGAATGCTGGCGGTCCCAGACGGTCTCGTGGCCTCCGGGAGATGTTTTTGTGTTTGGAGCACTCCTCGAAAGCCACCACCGGCCCGATGACTCAAGGGTCGGTCTCGGGAATTCGAACGTGACCGTCTAGCGCCGCCGGCGCGCGCCGGGGCCCATCGTGACAATAGGCTTTGCTGCCGTTGGCGACAGGTGAAGGCCAGGTCCGGGGGCCTTTCACAACAGTGGCGAGTGGGCTTGTGCCGCCTCGCGCACACCAGCTCGAAGCACGCGGAGCGAAAGCTGGCGCTGCAGAACCCAGGGATCCTGGGTTCAATCCCCACCCTGCCCTTTTCGATCTGGATGAGCATCGTACCGGCATGCGGGCGTGTATCACTGGCTTGTAATGGCTGATCATAATTATCAAACAGGATTTAAATTTGAAATAAAGCTTGTGACTTAGCTCAACAATGTGTTGTAAAGTATATTTAATAAGACGACGAAGTTATTTATGAAAATATGCGTATATAACTATATATGCACTTTACTATTTTGCGTGCCCAGTACTTTACCCATCGTCCTTTCCATCATTTTGGAGTGACACTAAGTTTTCCCGTGTAGCACCAACACGCTTGAAGTGTGTTTCGACGAGTTGAAGTGCGCTCGCTTGTAGTGATACTAAACTAGCCCGTCTGACAGGGGTATAAAAAACGCTTGTGCGTCTATTTACCCGCAAAACACTCAACGAGCCAATCTCTCTGATCTTCGAAACCAGCTAGGCAGATGATGAGGCGGAACATTCCTTTAGACCTAAAATGAAGTCTGCACTGTGTCATTACGCAATGCAAGGCTTCATGCTATAGCATTGCGTAATGCCACAACGCAGACTTAATTTTAAGGTCTAAACAGATGTTCCCTCTCAACATTCGCTGAGCTCATTTCGTGGACCGCAGAGATCGACTCTTCGAGTATTTCGCGGGCAAGTACACTCTAAAAAATGTCTGTGCATCTACTTTCACGCACAACACTCGGAGAACCAATCAGCGCAACTTACGGTGGCAGCTCAGCCAATGACGATGCCGAAACATGTTTAAACTGAAAAACGCAATCTGACTTGGGACATTAAGCAATGCAATCCTGACGTTTTGCATTGCTTAAAGGGGCACTGACACCACAAAGGTCGTATTTTTTTTATTGTCTAAAACGATGCAAGTTGCCGTCATAGACACGCAAAAAAAAAAAAAAAAACCGCACCGCGAAAAAAAATTTCCCGCTCGCGCGCGCCTTTTTATTTTTGGCGTTTGATTCTCCCGCCTCTCGCCTCCTCGCTTCTTTTAATACGTGACGTCAAGAATCATGAAATTTAGAAGCTTTGTAGGCGACATTTCTATAACATTTAATAACGGCAATCGTAAAACATGTTTTTTAACGCAATTGCGAACGCACTACGGCCCTTCTTTTTGAAATACCAAGAATCGGAGTCCGTTGTGGTGCCGTCTCCTGGATTTGTATCCTCCCACGGAAAACAGGCGACACCGCTCAAAACCGGTCCGCCGGCGCTTGCTCCTTTCCTCCTCGCTTTGGGTCGCCATGGCAACAGCAGGGAGTCGTGAAAGAAAGTGCACTCTCAGGACTCCGCAATATTTTACGTGAACGCACCGGCGCAGATCGCGCGGGAACTTCGAATTCGGCATTTGGAAATTGTTTTTTTACTTCACGAATACTGAATTCCCACATTTCGAATTTTGAGGGTAATGTCCTGGCATCGTTTTCCATCGTTTCGGATAATAAAAAAAAAATATAATTTTGATGTGTCAGTGCCCCTTTAATGTCACAACTGAGACTGCATTTCTTGGTCTAAACATACGTTTCGGCATCGTGATTTGCTGAGGCGCTGCCTCCGTAAGTTGCGCTGATTGACTCTCCGAGCGTTGTGCGGGAAAGTAGACGCACGGGCCTTTTTTTAGACTGTGGCTTCGCCCGCAGATGGGTTGCGTCCAAAATCACTCCCAAGAGTGCGCCAGTAGCAGATTTGCCAAAAGGGCGAGGAATACACCGCCCTCTTCGAGGAATGCGGTCTCGCCTCGTGTCCGGGAAGCCACCGACATCGCATACCCCACGACCGGCATGTGTGTGGCCTAGATAAGGTGACGGGGAAAACGTGGTTCCGATAACAGATTAAAAAACACAAAACAGCACCGCCATGCTTATGCTCAGCTGCTCTTTAGAAACAAGTTTGTGCTCGTTCTAGAACAATGGCGTTTCGTTCGTACATAGCCATTAGCAAGCCAATATCAGGCTCGTTCGTTTTATCTGCATTTCTTGCACCGATGCAGCGATGTTGTCTTTTTACATCAAATAATGATTGCCTACAGTTATGAATGTAATGTAGAATACGTCTTATCAACCGATTTTCAAGGAGTTCTTAACGTTTGGCTGTAACAAAAATCCGACGCCAAAAAGCGTTATGCCTATAGGGAACCATATTAAAAGGCTTCAGTATCCCGGCAGGATTTCAACTCACCACCTTGAGATAGTGCGCCAAGTATTTTGCCGACTGCGCTATGCCGGGTCGATAATCGAAGCACACAAAAGCGAACCAATTGACGCGACCTTTCTTGCCGCTCTGCGCCATCTCACGGCGGGTGTTAGAAATGAGAGCGAATCTTCAGTAGGCGGTGCCGTTCAGACACCCTTTTATTTTTCCTTGGAAGCTCTCTTACACATTCTGTGCTTACCAGTCTTGGTCCAGATTATCAAGCTTGTATAATTTTTATTGAAGATGCATTGCAAGAACTTCAATATAGCTTCATTGGAAATATCAACTAGAACAAGTCGACATTCCTGAGAACCTTATACTAATTGCAGAGGCGCTCACCTGCGAAGGAGTCTATCTTTCAACTGCCGATTGTATAACGCGGTGGATTCACCATCAGGGTTATGATTTATTTCCCATGCGTGCTTTATTCTCTCTATTTGTTCTTTCTGTGCACGTAACACCTGTTATATGGAAACCAGTTGCATTACGTCAAACTATTTCCAGGCATCGTTAGAATTCCAGTTTTACGGTGTTCACTAGCACTCAAAGGGTGCCGCCATAACACACACACACAAACCGGTTTATATGCTTGTCGATGTGAAGAAAGGCTTCGAGCAACTGAAGGATTCTAGGCCTTGCGTCTGCAGGTGCGGGTGACAGCGAGATTCCGGTCGAGCTGACTGGAATAAACTCCGTCTTTTACACAATTTGTTCTGATCAGCGTAAGGTTTCACGCTGCAACCCCCCCCCCCCTCCCCCTTTTTTTTTGGTACGCAAAGATTAAGAAAATTACCATACAATTACTCTAAAAAAACATTTATTAACTCGTTACAAAATTACAGATAAATGTAAGAGGCAAGTAATTTTGTTAATCGGAACGTACTTGATACAAGCCTGGTGAAAAGTGCGCGTGCACAACTTTGATCAGTGCTCAAGGAGCGCGAGCTCCGGTGCGCTTATACCTTTCACTGGATACCCGCAGAAAAGTGTCCTCGGGTATCTTGAAAGCTAAGGTACCTCTATAAATGTACTCCTACAGTGACTAATAGGGTACCAATCTTATTTCTCTGTGATGAATGTATTTTACTCGCGAAAATATTTATCGACGTTCAGTGAAACATCCCTTTGCTTTATTCAACCAGTGTGCCTTCGGTGACACGAGAATGCATGCTTCTCGATTCTCTTTGTTTCCTCCTCCTTTCCAAATGGCGATGCTTGCTTGGCCTAACATCTCTTCCAGGCCGAGACACCAGCGATTCCAAGACTTGCACACGGACTGCGAAGTGGACTGGGATGGCGAACGAATCTGGTACTCGGGACTCGGAGAGAACGCGGGCGCCTTCATGCGGGCACACCCGGGAATCAGAGGCGTGGGTGTCTTTGACATCGATTACGACGATTTCAAGGGTGTCTGCCGGCAGTACAAGTTCCCGCAGCTTCAGGCGGTTCACGATGTTTTGCGAGAAGTCTGATGAACGGATAGGTGCTTTGGAAATGCCAACGCACGTTGGGCATCCTAATGGAGTTGTCTTGCCTTATTTGATATATACGTTAAATAAACCGCGCAAAAGCATAGTCCAAGACGGCATAACATACGAATATCGGCGGATATATGGGGCGGGCTGGAGGAGGGGTGAGGGGTGCTGTGCAGTTATATTTTACGTTACGGACAGGTGTGACAGTACTAACGATGCGTTGCTAGATCTCTCTTTTGATGACCTCGAGCTTGCCATTTTATCAACGGTAATACCTACTGAAAAGCTGGCGTATGTCGTTTTTTTCATTGAAAAGAAGGTTGCTCCTAGAGCACTTAAGCGGCAAGGAAA